TACCCATGAAGAGTGCCATAGAATAATATTTGTATTTTGTAAATTTTGTTTTGCTACCGTGAGTGTTGAAGAGGTAATGAAAAACTTGACCTTTATATAGATTTTTTTTTTCATATTGCGTAGAGATAAGGGAATAGATTTGATTTCGGATTTAATGGAAGGTTGTTAAGATGATAAAGGAATGAATACAATGAATTTAATTAAATTGAAAGTCAGACTCCTTGTTTCTCGAACTTAAGTGAAACACGTGAAAATTAATCAAAAGAATCTCAATTTTGTTGAGATAATTCAGGAATCTTGTTGAACACGTGAAGTAAGAAAAAAAAAAACTGATTTTTAACAAAAACGTGGATAATGAAAAAAGGAATCTCAATTTTGTTTAGATAATTCAGCAATATTATCTTTCTAAACACGTGAAGTAAGAAAAAAAGAAAAAAAAAAAACTGATTTCTAACAAAGATCCACTTATAGAAAGTCAAAAGTCAACACAATTATTTAAAGTTTCTATTTCTGATTTTTCCATCAACCTTTTTTTATATATATAGATTTTATTTTTTAATTAATATTAAAAATAATTTTATTATTGTTAGAAAGATTAATATAAATTATTTTTTTATACATACAATATGGATGTTAAATCGAAGCTCATCATAAGAAGCTTAATTTGATATATTATATATGTAAAACTGATAAGAAATACAACAATTATTAAAAAATATATATACAATTCAATAATTATAATAAGAAATGATATTAAAATGCAATTAATACATATAACATGACCATAAATAATCAATATATTTATGATAATCCGAACTTAATTATTTTTGGATTGGAATTAAATTAAAATTTACTCAAGCCTTTTAGCATGTAATTTTGCACCAAAAGCACCACGTGCGTTCTGGTTTAATATATAAGGGAGGGGGATTTGCAAACCCTAGTTTCTGACGGAGGAGGCTGAAAGAGCGTTTCAAAGAACTCACACTGCCGCTGCCTCTTCTACCTTCCATCGAAGATGAAGGTTCTCTCCTCTCTCTCTCTCTCTCAATGTGATTGTTCGTGCGTGTGTCTGTGACGATCTATCTCACTGTCAATCTAAATCCATTGAACCATTTTGTTTTGAACATGTTATAGTTCAACATAGCGAATCCGACAACTGGTTGCCAGAAGAAGCTTGAAATCGACGACGACCAGAAGCTGTACGTCATTTGTTCAATTGAAGTCTTTTCGCCTTCCATTTTTTTCCGTCGTCATTTGCTCGTTTGCTGTAGACGGAATATATTTTCTGTTCACAAGCTGTGGCTAATATATGTATGTTTAGTTCTGTTGAAATTTGCTTTCTTGCTGTTTGTTAGCGTGGTGGAACAATGTAGAATCAGTCTCTGGCTTGTAGATGTACGGTTGGCATGATGTAGATAGAGCTCAGTTAGTATCAGTTCACAGTTCAGAAATGAGAGGGTTCCACTTGCATAGTCTTGATACAGAGTGTCCATTTGATCAGTTTTGTCCCTGTGATCTGGCCATTTTTTTCAAATATTTATCTCGTTCAATATGGTTATTCTCAGCCAACCTAAAGGTTATTTGGTAATCCTTAGTTCAGCATGTTGTATTTGTGTCGAATGTTTGTTGTTTTTGTTTTTCTTATTTTGTTTCTTGTAGTGTAGAAATGTATCCAGACGATAGTTTATCTTAATGCATAAATTCTACATAATTGCCCATGTGGCTTATTGTGGCTTGCTATGGATATCCGGTGGAACCGTGGAAGTAGTATTTATGCACATTTGATGGGGAACAATAGTATCTGTTTTTCTTGCCAGACTTTGAGCAATTCTTTATGTATAGGACACTATTTCATGCAGTTAGTTATACTCGTACCGTGCTATCTTGGTTCTGTGGTGTCCTGATTTGTTATGTTGACATTATTAGCTTAAGTCGTCTTCTTATTAAGTTTCATTAAACTGCAGCCGGGTCTTCTGGGACAAGAGGATCTCTCAGGAAGTCAATGGAGATGCTTTGGGCGAGGTATTCCCAGTGAAATTCTAACTGCAAACAACTTCTGCCTGACAATATGTCTTACTAACACGGGCATTACTTTGTTTAAATTTCAGGAATTCAAGGGCTACGTGTTCAAGATCATGGGAGGCTGTGACAAGCAAGGTTTCCCTATGAAGCAGGGTGTCCTTACTCCTGGCCGTGTGAGGCTCTTGCTCCACCGAGGTTTTTGAATCTGTTTTTCTCCACCCTCTTTATAATTATATAGTTTATGACACTGAAACCTCCTCCCACTTCAATTAAACAAAAGTGTCCATTCTAAACAGGCACTCCTTGCTTCCGTGGTTTCGGAAGGAGGAATGGAGAACGTAGAAGGAAGTCCGTCCGTGGGTGTATTGTGAGCCCTGACCTCTCGGTTCTGAACTTGGTGATTGTGAAAAAGGGTGAGAATGATCTCCCTGGGCTGACCGACACTGAGAAGCCTAGGATGAGAGGTCCAAAGAGGGCTTCCAAGATCCGTAAACTCTTCAACCTTTCCAAGGAGGATGATGTTCGCAAGTATGTCAACACCTACCGCCGGACTTTCACCACCAAGTCTGGTAATAAAGATTGTTCTTCACAGTTGAATATTAGGGTTATTGGATTATTTCCTAAACTGCCTCCAAGATTTTAACCTAATTGCATTTATAGACTCTTCAAACACATCTTGTGAGACAGTTAAGAGCCTTTTAAGTTTGTAATTTTGTCGGTGTTTGATTTTTTTTTTTTTTTTTTTTT